CTCCCCATCCCAGGCCGTGGGGAGCAGAGAAGCAGCGTGTGGCTACATCCTCCCCAGCAAAGTTCCCGAAAAAATTGAGTGATGGTTGTTACTGGGGCTGAGCCTGCCCATGCCCGCCGTGCCTGGGAGCGTTTGTGAGCCCGGTCTGCTCCCGGCTACCCGGGTACAGAGCAGAGAGCTTTGCGGGGCACAAGCGAGCCTTTTTGAGTTTCCTTATTGAACAAGGGACACTGGGAAATTCCCAGTAACTCACTGTGTTTTAGAACAGAGGGATTGCAAAATCTAAACCGGAGGTGTGTTTAACTGGAAATAACATTTTAACTGGGAGGCTGTCGATGTCCGCGCTGTCGGCGTGACCACAGCCCACGCTCTGCTCCCGCTGTCAGTTTTCCCACCCGCAGGGGCCGCTTTGGCCGTGGCGAAGCCCAGGCCTGTGCCTATGCACCCCTCTGAGCCTATGAGCCAGTTTTCCCACTGACACGTAAATCAGACATGTGCCAACACACACGTGGACACACCCGGCTTCGTACGGAACCCCGCGCACCTTCCCCGTGCTCCCCTCGTGCACCGCGTGAGCTCATCCGGGCTCACGGGCACATCCCTGGGCTCACCTGCTCCGAGCCACGTGTCCTCCTGGCTGTGGCCTTTCCAGGGTCCAACAGCTCTATAGAGCAGGTGCTGCTGCCACTGGCCACCTTCCAGTGCCATCTCGGTGACTGCTCTTCTTTGGTTTCCTCCTCAGCTATGGGGGCTTCGTCCCTCAGTACAATTACCAGTTTGGAGAGACTTATGGCAAAACCACCGCCCGCCTACTGACGGATCCTCGGGTCAGGAAGAGTCGTCACTCCTTGCTGGCACCGCTGCACGAGGAAAAGTTTGTCGAGGACCTCAGTGGGACGAAGGACAATGGCCAGGGTTATCTCCATGGGTGTCCAGGTGAGCAGACTCCAGGTTTTGTCTCTTCCCCAGAATGGGCTCTGCTAACGAGCACGGGGTCAATCACAAGCAGCGGGGTCTGTGCCCGTCCTTGGTAGGCTCCTGGGGTGAAATGGGATGTTTTCCATGGAGCAATCAGAGCTCTGGTGTAGGGGCACGGATGCCTGGAGAGCAGCACTGGTGTGGAGTTGGAGCGCTCAGCCTCGCCTGAGTGGAGAAGAGAACTTTAGTTCCCAGATTATGTTCAATTAGATGAAGATAAAGGATTTTATTTGTTTATATTTATATATATGTATTATATTACGAACTAACTTCCCAATTCTTCCATGTTCCTGTCGTGGTTTAACCCCAGCTGGCAACTAAGTCCCACCCTGCCGCTCGCTCGCCCCGAGGGGGATGGAGGGGAGAGCATTGGAAGGGTAAAAGTGAGAAAACTCGTGGGCTGGGAGAAAAAGTTTATAATTAAAATAAAGTAATAAATTGTAATGAAAAGGAAAATAACAAAAAGAGAGAAATAAAACCCAAGGAAGGTAAGTGATGCAAACGGAAACAATTGCTCACCTCCAACAGACCGATGCCCAGCCCGTCGCTGAGCAGTGGCACCCCCGTCCCTGCCAACCTCCCCCCTGGTTTTCTCTCCACCATCAGACACTGAGACGAGCTCCTGTAGATTCCCAGCGCTGGGCATTTGCAGGAGCCTCCTGCCGAGTCCCAGGGCTCCTGGGCACAGTGCCTGGTGCAGGAGCAGACCCCAAATCAGACCACAGCATCAGCCACGCTGTGATCCCGGCCCGACCCCTGTTGGGGACGCGCCGTCCTTTGGAGACACGTTTGCCATGTACCGTATTGCGCGTCTGAGCCGTAGCTGTTGCGGACACCCCGTTTGGTGGGAGTGAGTCCTCTGCCAGCTGAACGTGGGGGCTGCATGCCTGGGTGGGATCTGAGTACTCATTTCCCCAGGGATGGCCACACCGAAGTGATGCTTTCCCATTTCAACGCTGGGAGTTTGTGCCACTTGGCTTCTTGCAAACTTTTGGCCTTTCCGTTCATCCTAGCCCTGTTTTCCAGGACCCAGGTCTCCATTATACAGGTGGTGTTTACAGGCGTCGTTCCTGGACGTTTAAATTTGCATTTCCTTGGACTAAAACATAGTTTGGATGGGACCAACTAACCAGTTGACCCAGTTACTCTCTCTCATTATCCTGTCCTCGCTCTTGCGCTCTCCTCACCAACCTTTACGTCACTCACCAACGTTTGCAGCTGGGAGCTCCCGTTGGCTGCCCGTCGGTGAAATGCCGAAGAACGTGGCCACAGGGAGCACCTCGCTGTGCTGGTAACGCTTCATCGACAGCTCGAGCTGTCGGTGAGCGATCCCTTGAACCTTCACTGCAAACGTCGTTCGTGCTGCCTGGCCTCCTCCTGGGCGTTTGACGTGATGGGGATCAAGGAGCTCATGGCAGCGCTGGGTCTGTGTGGTTGCCTTCAGCAAACTCAGTCTGAGCAACGTTGCTCAAGGTCTGGTTCCGATAAAGCTGGGTTGGTTGGCACAAAGTATTTTGCTGGTTTCTATCAGTTGCATCCCGTGTTGTTTTCTTGCTGGAAGTGAGGTCAGGCGCTGTTGGGTGGGGATATCAGCCAGGGTTGTGCTGGGTCTCCAGGGGCGGCCGTGTTGGCATCAAGGGGTTTATGGCACAGGCCAAGCCTGCAGGGACCCACTCCCCAGGACTCTGGGCTGAAAACATGTAGATACTTACTCAAATCAAATGCACAGTGCTCTCCTGGCTTTTAATTTAGTGCCTGACTCTGCAACCTTTCTGAATCAATAAGTTTGCATAAAGCAGAGTAATTAAAAAAAAAAAGCAAATATGGATTTCTCAAGTACAAAACTACTTCGTTTTCCCTCTCTTTTGGTTTCTGGGATAAAAAGAAAAGAGTAGATGCAATATTTTCATTAATAATGAAGGAAATATTAAGACAAACCTGCTTTAAAATTTGCACAAGGGACTGAAAAATCACTTTCTTCAAGTATTTGTCTTTATCAACTGCTGTCCAGGCTAGTAAAAAAATAATACAGTTATATGGAGTATATATACTTTATAAAGTCATATACAGTATATATATTTTCTAATACAATTATAAGCAGATTACAAACCTAAACACTTCTTAGAAGTCTTACACTCTTGAAGAAAGGGGTAAATTTTTAAAAAATGATGTTTTTCTCGGCACTGTTTGAGCCAGGAAAGGTAGTTCTTCCCTAGGACTTTCTGCAGATGAAGCCTTCACTGCAAGACCGTGTCTTGTCCGTGGGGCTTGGCACTGGAACACAGATGTCCACGAAGCAGGAGGAGATTAGGGCCAGAGGGCTGTAAGAAAATGACCTATGAGAACAAAAATGGAAGGAATTTGGTTTGTTTAAAAAAAGACCAGACTGACATAGTAACGGTTTTCCAACAAGAAAAAGGTTGTTGCGGGGTGTCAGAGCAATCATCCTCCGTAACCACCGAGGAGGGAGAAATTGGCTTCGCTCCTGGCATAGAGCTCGAGGAAGCGCCGGGGCTGGAGGTGCCGTACGGGGCCGGGGCAGCCACATCACGGGATATTTTTGAGGAAAAGTCAGCCAAAAGTTGCCAAGCTCAGCCATCCCTGGGAGTCTCGAGCTGCAGGGCTTCGTCCTTAGTTCACAGCGGAGATATTTCGCACACACTGACCCTAAAATATTTCGTGTCACAGCAGACCCTTTCCTCCATGAGCAGCAACGAAGCCGGTGCAAGAATTCCCTGTAGGACACTGGGGAGGGGGGAGCTGTGTTTGGGGTGTGCTGGGGCAGCCATGGGGAGGGAAGGATATGGATATTTTTTCTCCTTAATCTTTATAGCTTGGCTGATGGTATTTTACAGTTTAGGCATCACTTAGAACACATTGTAAGTTATTGAACTTATGTTTGTGCAGGTGAGTTTATTCATCAGACTCAGTGTTTCTCAAGGTCTGGTTTCCATGAAGCCTCGTTGATGGGCACAAAGTCTTGTTGATGGGCACGTGGGGGCTGATGGGCACAAAGTCTGTGGGATGCTTTTGACTTCCAGGCTCCTCTCCATCACTCCGGAGCGGAGTGTGGGGACTGAGGTCCAGCCGATGGGAATCCCCCATCGTCCTTCTGCCCCTCCTGTCCCTCAACTCAGTGTCTGCCCCGCAGGGTACTTTCCCTATGAGGAAGCTGAGACTGCAGCGATCTTTCCTGAACCAGTCCTTGAGCCAAAACCTCTTCCACCAGGACCGGGGCCGGCAGAAGAGTTGATGATGACGCACACGGTCCCCGTGTCCCCGTACCACCCTGGCGAGTACATCCCGAGGACACAACTGCCACGTGGGTACCCATGGGAGACTTCACGTCATCCTGCCTCTGAGGAGCAAGACTTGCGGTTGCCCAAGCTAACCCCAGCCCATGGACAGGGAAGATGGGGTGGACCTGGCATGTTCAGCCGTGCCTGGGCACGAAGCAACCTGGTAAGTGGTTCTGGCTGGAAAAGAAGCGTGGTAAGGGGTGCTGCTGGGGGGGCTGGGGACTGGTGGGCATGGAAGGGGTCTCCATAGTCCATGAGCGTGAAGTGGGAATTTCATATGGCTGTGGAGGGTGAGGACAAAGTTTAGAGTGTCTCGTGCAGAAACATCAAACACACTAATGTTTCTAGAAGTAGCAAATCCGCCACGTCTTCAGGGAACTGTTGCAATGATTAATTACACTTCCGAATCAAAAAGTTTTAACTTCTCATTTGGTTGAGTTTTAGCTTCAAATCCCAGTTATTAGGTCTTGTGTTACGCTGCACTACACAGCTGGACTTGTGTTCCCTTCGGGTGAACTGGAAGCCCTGCTGCTGCCCTCCTCCCGGCACCTTCGGTTGCGTGCTGGGCATCTGACCCCTCAACTGCTCCCACCACTCACCTGAATTTCCCACCATCTCATTGAAAATGAGGTTATCCCTCGCTGGAACACAGGCTCTGGGGTTTGCCTATGGAGCTGGGTGCTGCTTTGCACGGCACAGCTGGTACCACTCGGGACCGACGTGTTTGAGCCCCTTATTTCTTCCGGAGCCAGAGACAGCGTTTGCCACGCTCCAGCCAGGAGGGTTCTGCAAATCCCCCGAAGGCAGAGATTGGACGTATCAAGTCAAAAACTGGCTTGGATATAAATCCCAAGAAGCATCATTCCTGCTCCTTGCTCTGAGAGACAGATTTACAGAGGAGCTCAGTGCCCAAAGCTCCCCTTGTTCTCTCCAGGGATTTTGCAAAACCTCTGCATGGAGAGAACTCATCCAGTAATTTGACTTTATCAGAAATTCTTGGGGTAGCTCTTAGCGTAAAGCTGGGAAGAAATGGAAATGGCAGCTGCTGTTCACAGGTGCTGGCAGTGATTTAAGCAACTGGGCCAAAGGAAGAAGTGGGTTTTACTGGTGTTTATTTTATTTCTACTTTTATTGTAAGCCTGTAACAATTGAAGATGTGACACTGCCAGGAGTGGCTGAAACCGTGGATGGGGAGCAAGATAATCGGTTCCCGAAACTGGCTGTACCAAGAGCCATCCAAGAGAAAGCCATGCCAGGTAACAGAGGGAGGTCACGTGCAGCACAAATCCGCCTCGGAAAAAATCATGTCATCCCTCTTCCCCCGGGGAAATCTCGGAAACGTTGGCCAGTTGCTCCAGCTAGTTTGAACACTTTGAGATGGAAAAAGCCCCTTTTCCTCTCCATGCAAGGGTGTTTCTTTGGGATGCTGTCACCCCCGGGGATCTCGCGCTGAGGGACACGTGCCCATGGGCAGGTGGGGGGATGCAGGGGGTCACCTCTGTTCCCCACAGCTGCAGGGCCAGGCTAGAACATGCTCCAGAAAGCAAGGAGAGATGGGTCACGGGCTCTGCACCAGCTCCAGCAGCTTGATAAGTATCTCTTAGCATCGAGGCAGCTATTGCTCTCCTAGAAATAAGATGTTTTTCTGAATTATCAAATGAACAAGTAGTGCTGTGTAGTGCTGTCAGAAGTGTATAAGACTCTGTCTTACACGCAGTTACACTCTGTGCCTTCTCCACTTGTGCTGGAAGAGTGTTCCTCTGCAAGCAGGAGAATGACAAAGGGCACTGAACTCCCCCAAAAGGGGACCAGACCAGCACGAGGGGCACGTCGCGGCAGATTACAGCAAATATAGGGGTTGCAGGTCAAAATATTTCAGACTGAGTGAAAGAGCGTTGATGGTTTAGGATGCAGAAGACAAATTTTGCTCTCTCCAAAGCTTCCCTTTGGAAAGAGGGAATTCTGGCTGCTTTTAGGTTGTATCTCTCTCTGTTTTATGTAGTTTTAGACTTTATATAGTTTCTGTCTTATAATTAGTGAAAATTTGTTGGATGGAGAGGGAGGGCAAATGAGAAAGAAAGATTGGATGTCTGGTTTTTAGCCCCTGAGTGTGTATTAAACTGGGAGAGAACACGACAGAGCTGTTGGCTTAAAGAAAAGACTATAAGAAAATGAAATGTTTCTTCCATACCTCATGGAGACCAACAAAGATCAGTTCAACCCACTGAGTTTTCCTTGGCAATCGAAAAAGACTCTTTTAGAAAAGATATTTTCACATGCAAGAGTTAATTTTACAGTTTAAATGGATTAATTTTTCCTTCCTATGCTCTGCTGAGGTTGTATGTTTATCCCAGCCTCTTCCACTTCCAGACTGGTTGATCCTTTTATGACATGTATGTTCTCTCTTGTCTTCATCTGAAGGGTACACTGGATTCATCCCCCGCCTCGACTGGACTCATGGCGTGAACTACGTCCGTGCTGTGAAGGAAGCCATGGAAGAATTTGACCGACATCAGGTAGATCATATCCACAAATCTCATTTCAAGAGTGTAAAGTTGAAATTGGTTAATCTGCAGCACCAGAAGTGGTTTCATTTACAGTAGTAGTATTAGAACCGGGGTTTTAAGTACAAACAAAAGAAAACGCTGTTAGGTAACATGTTGAAAAAATCATGAGCAATTAAATTCTGTAATTTGTTTCCTTGGGACGTTAAGGGAGGATAAATGGAGTTCATAAAAGGATTAAGCAAATCTATTGAGGGTTTGTTCCAGCGTGGCTATTAAAAATGTTGCTTTGAGTGCAGAAACACAGGATGCAACTATCCGTGCTTCCCTTATGCAATGTATCTTCTCTACCTGGATGGCAGTGCTGGGTGGCTTCCTGGGCTGCTTGGATGGATATTTCTCCCTTTTAAGTGGTTGTGAGGCTTTTTCCGTTACTAACATAATCTGTTTTTTAAAGGCACCTAGATCTTCTTTCTCCTCCTTTTGGGAAGGATGCAGAAATATCCCTACTGAAGAACTATTTTGTTGCCTTGCTCTAAGATCTCCCACGTAAAGCCATATAATCCTCCTACGCAGGAAAATGAGATCCCTCCCACAGTAAATAACTGGCATTCAAAGCTACACATTTCTTCCTGCTACCAGGATGGAGTGAGATCCCTGGGATGCAGCCATCTCACAGGTCCGGCGGTGGCGGGGGCTGATGGGCTCCGTGAAAGCAGGTTACAACATTTCCAACCCTTTCTGGTCACTGGGATTCACCACACTGCCTTCGTCCCAGAGCGTATGGGTCTGGTGTAGAGAAAATCCAAGGCTGAGGATCCTCAGCTCAGAGAAACTGAGCTGGGAAGCAATGACTCAGCAGGGCCGGCAGTGCTCATGGCAGATCGATGCTTCGGCTGAAACGTATTTCCCTGTGCTGCCGTCCTTATCCTTTCCTGCAGCCCTTACTACGAATCGAAATGAAGCGAACAGAATGAAAAACAGCCATTATCAAAAGCAAATGGTGCTGTTTGCAAAGCCTTTCTGCTCTTGGTTTCTTTAAGAAATATCTGCTGGGCAGTAAATGGGTGAGGGAGGTGTTTCTCCATCGCAGGGGTCAGCAGAATCCAGGCTCGCAGGGGTGAGCTGCAGCACATCAGGCACTGAAGGAATATAAGCACACTGAGGAAAAAAAAAAAAAATCATTCCACATTTCTGTCTAAGATGGCTTCTGACTTGAAGCCACTAATCTTCTGCCCTCAATCTCTGTTGCCCTAGGATACATCCCGGGATGTGCCACGGATCATTGCTTACTGTCCGCATCAGGCAAAATAATGCGATCCTCTCGCTTCAGCGCTGCGCTGGAGGGACGGCGGATTGCGGCGCTCGCTCCAGCGGGCACCAAAGGGTCCGACGGCCCCGCGGTGCGCTGGGCTCCGCCAACCCCGTCCCTTCACCGCCGGGCAGGGAGGGCGGCACGGCTGTAGTGGCACCGTTACGGGTTTTGCCGCTGCGGAGACGTACGGAGCTGCAATATCCTCCAGCATAGCCCCTTCTCTGGGTCCGACCTCGGAGGGCATGGGCAGATCCAGGAGATGATTTACGCTCTCCCTTCAGTTAACGCTCCCTAGGCCTTCCTGGTCGTCCTAGCCTGGGAATTACTGGCTAATCACCGTCCGTGGGACTCGTGGGAAAACTAAACCTGTTGAAGGGGTCAAACCAAAACACAGATGTGCAGAGTCGTAGCACGGGAGCAGATGAGGCACGGCCCCAACTCCAGCAGGCACTGCTGGCTCACAGCGGAGCAAACAGGTTGCCCAGAGAAGTTGTGGATGCCCCATCCCTGGCAGTGTTCAAGGCCAGGTTGGATGAGGCTTTGGGCAACCTGGTGTAGTGGAGGTTGGAACTAGATGATCTTTGAGGTCCCTTCCAACCCAAACCATTCTATGATTCTATAAATGTCGGAGCACGAGGCGTTTGGGACTCGTGGGTGATGCCCAAAGGTGACGCGGTCCAGTCTGTAGACATCCTGAAGGACCACACCTGGGCCAGGAGCTGCTCGGTGCACTCGGGCTCCGAGCAAGCTGGGGCAGCGCTGTTGGCTGCTGCCAACGCCTCTCAGGTGGAAAAACTTAAAAAATGGAAAAAGGAAAGATTCAGTGTAGCTCCTAATTAGAAGAAAACAGAACTGGAAAGAGAATTGCTTTACATTGGCTTAAATGTTTTCTTTAATGCAGAGTCAAAGCATGTGACTTGGGTAAGAATAATAGTTTAAAATGAACCATACTTTGTTGGGTTTTTTTGTTTTGTTTTGTTTTTCAGGTTTTGCAGAGAAGCCCAGTTTCCAGCATTGGCAAAAGTTTTCACCAAACATACTGGCCTGACAACAAAATTTACACCAGTGCCGGACTGATACCTTTCTACACAGGCTTCGTACCACGTAAGTTTATCAGCTGAGTGAAAATGAAAGTCACTAATACTAATTACTGTCATTAAGTACTGCTGTTATTAGCTGTAGTGTTCCAGTAGTGAACACTTACTGACATGTTCCACATGGGTAGTAGATTTTTTTCCCAGTCTATGCCAAGGTGCTGGAGTTGTGCCATCCTCTGCCTTTCTGCAGGACAGCCCATCTTCCAGCCTGGACTTGAACAGAACGTTCCTCTGGTTTCCAGCCACCACCCAGTGCTAAAGCAGAGGAGGGTCAGTGACACCCCACCCGTTACATGGGTGCATTACAATTTCTTCATCAGGAAAGCGATTCTGTTCTGAAAAGCTTAAAGCCTGATAAAAAGCAAAAGGTAGATGATACAAAAGGATGAGAAGGCACAAAAAAGCAGGGAAATGGTATTAGCCATCAAGTCGGGTGGTGGTTACCCCATACTGTCTGCCTGGTCCTTGTCAGTTATCTGCGTTGCCTAAAAGGAGAAGTCTGGAGAAAGTAATTTTGTGTATGTTAAAGGAAAGGTCTGCCCGTGCAGAGCTTTAAGGTATTAAGCTAAAACGTCAACAAATCAGCAATTAATGTTGGTATTCTTTGGCCACAGCAAAGTCAAGAGCCCACAGCTCAGTAATGTGGGATGGGAAAGCACGGAGATGAGCTGGAAAGATCCAAACTCACAGCTTGTGCTTAATGCGATAAAGAGGAAGAAAATGGTAGAAGACATAAAACGTGGCAGAAATAAAAGCAAAGAGTAGGAAACTAACTCTGCTGGCACGGTTGGACGGTGGCTGGTACAGCGATTGTGTCTGAGCCCAGAGGGGAGAAGGTTGAGGCAGTGAAGGTGGCTCTGGCCAGACTTGGGAAAGCCATGCAGAAAAAGCCCAATGTAGCACACAGCCGCTCATCAGGCGCTCGAAGGATGGTCCAAGGGAAAGGACAGAAGCATCTTACACACTAGAGGCTGGACAGGTCTTCTGCTCAAAGATGAAATGTGTTTGGTTTGGCCTCTGTCACCACTCTGGGCCGGGTGGCAAGCGCAGCAGCTGCCGTCCCCGGGACGTCACACTCGCCTGTCCCCCTCCTTCCCGCGGCAGCTCCGGGGTGTCCCACAGCAAAGCCCTGACTGCTCCAGGTGCCCGTTTCCTCTGTGCTGGATCACCTGGGGAGGGCTGTGGTCACACTCCTCACAGCTGGAGCCCGCAAGCTCAACCCTCTGGAAAAGGCTGTTATGAACCAAAGGGTAAACTGGACTCCGGTGTTAATACTTTTCCAGGTGTTTTGTCCTCTCTCCTCAAGCCCGCAGAAAGTGGGGAGAGCAGCTGGAGCTCTGCAGGGGAGGGTGACTACGGTAGCTCTGCCCAAATGGGTGCTGGGGGACAACACAGTCCTGCCCTGGGTAACTGGCAGGTCAGGGAACACACCAGCTTCAGGGTAATGAGGAGGAGGAAGAATAACCCACTCTAAAATCAGGGACCAAAAAATCAACTGCTTAGTGTTACCTCATGCTTTAAAAATCTGTTGTCACCTTTTCACCTCAAAAGGTGGAGGTTCTCCTGTGGAGGTTTGAAAGCCACCTGTTTGTTCTATAGCCACTGATTTCCACTGCCCCAAGAGCCACCAGAGCAATTTTAACTACTGCAACCAGTTTGACTCCGGAAGGAGAAACTTATTTTTAAGACAGAAAAAATTAAC